TTTCTCTACTCCCCCAGAATTGCCTATCATCCTGCACCCTAGGGAAGAAGACTCACAAGGAAGGGAGGTATTAAAAAGAAATAAAATATTATGCAAGATGGGAAGAATCTTACATTGGGAGCCTGTGGGACTATTCCTTTAAGTAGACCTACTTATGATCAGAATTTGTTTGACTTTGCATTAATCACCTGTGGTTACTGCCACCTAGGCAAGCCCTAGTTATAAATTAATGATGGGAATACATGGAGAGTCCTGAATATACACTGAATGGAGCAGCATGCCCTGAGGAATAGTCTGAGGAAAGATGCCGCTTGAGCATATAGTATCTTTGTTTTTTGTTCATTTTTTTTGTTGCTATTGTTTTGTTTTCAAGGTGGAATCTCACTATTTTACCCAGACTGGTCTCGAACTCCGTAAACTTAAGTGATCCTTCTGCCTCAGCTTCCTGAGTAGCTGGGGTTACAGACTTACACCACTATTTTGCTTTTACTGTGGCTGTTCTTTTTGAGCAGTTACTCTATACTGCTTTTGTTGTATATGATCTCCTTGGACTTTTTTTGTTGTATATGATCCAAATGATCTGCTTGGACTGCCACTCTCTACCAACAGTGAGTGGGCAGTTGTACTAATGTCGTAGAAAGGCCATGAGATTAGCGCTTTGTCTAGGGTATAAATTCAAAATGAACTCTTTTAGAGAATTCATTTTCTGTTATTTAAACATTACTGTATTCCAGCAAGAACTTACTAAACTAGAATGTGATCAACAAAGTTCTTAATGCTCTTGCTTTTTTGTTGTGCTTGAAGATAAGAATTTTCATAGCAATAAAGCGGGGCATGTTTTCCTTAGGAATAACTTTCCTCTCACTTTCTTTGGGCATCACTTTGTTTCTCAAAAGTGGCAGCATGGCCTCTGTGCTGATGAGCAACTTTAGGTTTACATCTTATTATCTGAGAGTAGGTTACGGTGAAAAATTCTATATTATGAAAAATGTATTTCACAATATTCTAACAGATGCTGCTAGTATAATAGCCTAATGTAACAAATGCACCAAATGTGCTCAAGCATGTTTTTGACACTATTTTCATAAGTGATGATATATCCTAATTGAAACTTACTAAAATTATGTTTTCTTCTCCAACTGTCATGACAACATACCAAACTATGTGTTTTGTGTACCCATGATTTAAGACTGTAAGATATGTATTCCACTCTGTGTCTTAGTTAGGCTTGAAAATAGAAAATTTTATTCTTTTGAATATTAGTACAGTGAAATAATTCAGTTCCTAGGTATATATTAATTGTCCTTCATTATTTATACAGCCAATAGTAGATTTAAACCTGAGGATTTATATAAAACAGTGGAGAAAATTTAAATCACATTGTTATAGTCTCTTTTTGTTTTCACAAAGTGAATCCTTTTGGGAATCACCAGAGCGAGTCCTATATATTTATTTTTATCATCATGTACTAATTTGTGTGTACTGTGTCCTTGCCTCATATATATTCCAACACACATTAGAAAAGTGTAAAAGACACAAATGTATGCTCCATTTATTTATCACAAAGGAAAATCCCTATAACTCCATCCAGGGCAGGAAATAAAGCATCACCACCACCCCCGAAAACTCCCATCATGCCCTTCCCAACTGCTGTTTCTTCTCTCTTCACCCCCAGAGTTAGCCACAATGTTTACATTATATTAATCACTTTCTTGCTTTTTAAAATAATTTTATAATCTATCCATGCATCTGGAACTCTGTGGTTTAATTTTCCCTAGTTCAAAGCTTTGTGGGGTTTTTTGGTTTGGTTGTTTTTGTTACTTTACATAAATGGAATTATGTAGTTAGGTATCCTTTTGAATTCAGCATCTTTAACTCAAAATCATATTTGTAAAAGTAGTTATAGTTGGCTTTTATTGCTGTATTGTATACCATTTTATGAACTAAGCACAAATTACTTATTTGTTCTACTGTTTGGGTCTTCCATGAATAATGCTGCTGTGGACATTCTTTCATATGTCTCTTGATAAACATTGCACATATTTCTGATGGGTATATACATAGGAATGGAGCTGTCAGATCACAGGGTATGTGTATTTTTAATATTTTTACATGTGGTAACAATTTATACTTCCACCAGGGAAATCTGAGAGTTCCTATTGCTCTGTCCTTATCACACTTGTTATTTTTTTCAGTCCATCTGTTTGTTGTGCAGTATTATATCATGGTTGTAATTTCCATATTTCTGATTACTAATGAAGTCAAGCAAATGCAAAGAAACCTGTTGAGAGTTTTATTGGAATTGCATTTCATTTATAGATAAATTTGGAGATGGTGTTACACAATCAAACTTCCTAATACATTAACATAGTTTATATAGCACCTTTAGATTTATCTAATAATGCTCATAGTTTTCTGTAGAGGCTTGCATATCATTTGTTACATTTATTACTAGATATTTTAAATTTAAATGCTATAATAAATACCATTTTAATAAGTTTTATTTTCCAATTTGTTGCTGATATGTAACAAAGTATGGATTTTTAAATTTTACCTTTTATGCAACTGCAGGTCATCTGTAAATTTGTTTAGATTTTGTGTATACATAATTATACAATCTGCACATACTTTTTAATCTACTCTCTTTCCAAATCATTATACTATTTATTTCATTTTATTGTTTCGAGTAGGCTAGAACCTTCACTGACTGGTATTTCCATTAGTGTTGACTAAAAGTAAAAATAGTTGGGAATTTCAAAGGGGAAATATTAAAAAAAATTTTTTTTAGTAGCTATGATGTTGCATGTGCTGGATTTTGTTTGTTAATAGTATATTTAATGTATTTTAATGTAAGTTCATGAATGAGAACATAATGTAATTTTTCTTTTTTATAATGTTCTTGTTAGGTTTTGGTTTTAATGTTTTGCTAGATTCTTGAAGAAAGTTGAGAAGTGTTTCCTCTTTCTTTACTATCTGGAAGAGTTTGTGTAAGACTAGCATTATTAATTATAACTCACTAGTGAAGCCATCTGAACTAAAGTTTTTTGTTTGTTTTATATGTGTTATTTTGGAAAGGTTTTTAATTACAAATTCAACTTTTTCAGTAAGACTGCTTCTGAACAGTCTTCTAATGTCACTTTTGGTTAGTAATAGTTCTCTAAGAATATGTTCATTTCATCCAAATTTCAGATTTGCTGCAAGAAGGTTGTTTTTAACCATCCTTTTATCTTTTCATGATCTGTAAAACATGCAGTGATTCTCCTTTTGCATTTCTGCTAATTGTTATTTGTGCCTATTTTTTTTTTTTTTTTTAAACTGGACTCTTCCAAGTTTATTCATTTTTATTAGTCTTTTAAAATTACTTATTTGGGTTTCTGTTTATTATTGGTGTATAGAAATGCAATTGTCTTTTGTACATTTATTTTATACCCTGAGACTTTGCCAAAGTCCTTTATTTTTATTTTTTATTTATTTATTTTTTTGAGTTGGAGTCTCACTCTGTCGCCCAGACTGGAATGCAGTAGCCGCTCCTGGCCACCGCATCCTCGACCTGCTGGGTTCCGGCAATCCTTCCGCCTCAGCCTTCCGAGTAGTCAAAACTACAGGCATGCGCTACCACACCCAGCTTATTTTTTGATTTATTGTAGAGATGAGGTCTCGCCAAGTAGCCCAGGTAGGTCTCGAACCTGCGGGCTCAGGCAATCCACTTACCTCAGCCTCCCAAAGTGCTGGGATTATAGGCTGAGTCACCAAACCCGGCTGCCAAAGTCCTTTATCAGTGCAAGGAGGTTTTTGGCAGATTCTTTTGGGTTTTCAAGGTATACAATCACGTCATCTGCAAAGAGATAACTTGACTTCCTCTTTTCCTATTTGGATACCCCTGATCACCTTCTCTTCTCTGATTACTTTAGCTAGGACTTCCAAAACTATGTTGAACAGGGGAGGTGAAAGTGGGCATCTTTGTCTTGTTCTAGTTTTCAGGGGAAATGGTTCCAATTTTTGTCTGTTTAGGAGTATGCTGGTTGTGGGTTTCTCATACAGGGCTTTTACTATTTTGAGGTATGTTCCACCTATGCCTAGATGTTCGAGGGTTTTTATCAAGAAGCGGTACTGGAGTATACCAAAAGCTTTTTCTGCATCTAATGATATAATCATGTGGTTTTTGTTTTTACGTCTGTTGCTGCATTTAATTACGTTTATGGTCTTACGAATGTTGAACCAGCCTTGCATCCTGGGGATGAAGCCTACTTGGTCGTGATGGATGATTTTTGAGATGTGTTGTTGAATCTGGTTTGCTAGGTTCTTGTTAAGAAGTTTAGTTCACAGAAACAAAGAACTGAGTATCACATGTTCTCACTCATAAGTGGACCTTGAACAACTACCATATTACTATAAGAAAAGGATTGAAAGTGGTGGGAAACTGTGGGTTGGGGGTGGGCAGGTAGGGAGGTGGGATTAACAGTAAAGCAAACCCTGGCTGATACTAATGTAGCTACATCAGTTTTCTTTTGGTTATTTTTTTGCATGATACATTTTTTCCATGTTTTTCAACTTTTCTATATCTCTGTGTTTTAGATGTCTTATAAATAGCAGATACTTTTGTTTATTTGAGCAAAGTTGCAGTTAGGACATTTAGTGTAATGTAAATCTTTATCAATCTTTTAAGGTTGATAAACCTTCAACAATTTTTTGCATTCAGAAAATAGACAGTTTCTCAACATCTGTAAGTTTAAGAAATTTATCTTCTCTGATTTATATACAGATATGCAGGGATTTATGAAACCATTTTACCTCTTTCTTTGACCTTTATATAATGAAAAGAGATCCAGGGACTAAAATATGCTAAGGACAATAATTTAATCTGGCATTTGGGAAATTTAGTTTGCAACTCATCCTTATTGTGATTTATCTATCTAATTCCAATAAGCACATCATTAACAATGTATCTCTCAATATATCTATTTTGAAAAATACTATAAAAATTTTATTTTTGATTACAGGGCTGTGACTCCCAAGTGAGTGTGTCAGAAGTGTCCTGTAGTGAAAGTATATCTTCATGTCAATCTCTTGAACACGGCTCAGTTCCAGAAATTCTCATTGGCCTGCTTTATAATGCCACAACTGGAAGACTATCAGCAGAAGTGATAAAAGGCAGCCACTTCAAAAACTTGGCAGCAAACAGACCACCCAGTGAGTAAAAAAAA